ATTATGATTACAGTGGATGAATATTAGTTTGTTAGTTCTATCTAAAAACTAACTGGTGCCTTCTAAAATTCAAGGAACAACCAAACTGGAAGTCTTGTACCTATGGGGAAGGACTATAAACTCCTTAAAAGAACCATTGAGTGGATGTTAACAATAACACCCATAACAATGTCTTATTCAAGGTAACAATGTTTGGAATTTGACAACTATCGATAATATTGACTTTAAAGAAAAAAGTTTCAAATTTGGCAATATATATGATGTTACTTGTGATAATTCACATGCCACTCTAAGGATAGTATTTCAGACCCAATTGCCAATTGAAGTAGAAACTGTTTCAGAAGAAGTTATTGAATTAACGGCTGAAACTCCGTTATTTGGATTGAATCAAGATACCAATGAAACTTTATCTACATTTCAACAAGTCATTTGTGAATTATTAGATTTTAAGAAAATTGATAATAAATTAGTTTACAAAACAGATTTCAATGTAGAAACTATCAAACATATTATACTTACTAAATTAGATCATGGATGCCTTGGGCCTTCTCCCAATGTTGTAATTTTAGAGCCAGGTGCCAATTCAAATTTGGATAAAGAGATTTTACATGTGGCTGAAATGTACAAAAAAGACTTTGCATTAAAAAGTCATTCTTTTCTAGACATTGTAGCAGACGAAGCTCTTTTTCATCGGTTAATCAAATGCATGGCAGAATGGCCTAATATAAGACCCCTCTTAGGACAATGGAATACATCTAAGGACTTTTGTTCTGTTTTATTGGTTTTATTTTCTAGTTATGGTTTACTAAGCTTAGCATCACATTTAGGTGTTCGTTTCTTAGATAAATTTGAATCTGTTATTAATTATTATTCAACTGCACAGGTACTTGATCTTCTATGGGCTGCAGTGGGAATAGCTATTAATATCTACATTAATGAAAAAAAAATGTCTTTTGATGAAATAATGGATGGTGAAAACAGCTCACACATTTGTCTTAAGGTATATTTATTAGACTGTATTTTTTTAGAAAAAACACTTAACTAGTTAATTAGTTTCTTTTTTATCTAAAAATATGTATTATGTTTTGTCAAAGAAAAAAATATCAATCATAAAACATGATTATTATTGAAATAAAAAATTTTATTAAAATTTTACAAAAATAAATTACATTTATTATTATTCAAATTTATATTATTTTATTTTTTAATTTATCTTACTTTGAAACAATGAGAAGGTGATGGCTATTGTAATAATTATAACTATGATAAAAATGGTGATGGAAATAATTCAAAATTTTTAACCTTTATTTTTATTAATTCTATCTATAGGTGTAATATCTATATTATAAATGGGCCAGAATATGGAAGGCACACCGGATGGGAATGCGAGTTGGGAACTTTAATTTACAATGAAATTCGTTATCTGCAGCGGGACCTCTTTATGCAAGTGCAGGCAAATTAAATTACACAATGGCTATAGCTCATTATCTCAGCATCATAGCTGCTCATCCTAAATTAGAAGAAAAGTTATGTTATTGTAGTGCATTTAAAATTTCCAATAATGTTAACGATTCTAACAATAAGCGTCATATCTGTTTTGGATTTGATGAGGCTTTAGAAACCTTTGGCGTAAGGTTCATTAAACAAAACATTAGTGGAAATATATTTGATGAGAAAACCCTTAGGGATCAAATAAAAGCTTCACAAGATGAAAGAGAGAGGATAGATCTATTAATGAGTGAATACCTTGGTGATTATTCAATTTCACATAGCGAACGGGCTGTCAAGTCGCGTAAGGAATCTTTATAGAAGCTTATAGATGATCTTGTAACAGTATTTGAAATGGATGACCCCCTATTCCACCAATTATTTCAAAAATATACACCCACAGAATTGCACCAGGAAGGACTTAATCGGCTAATTGCTTGTTATCCAGATGGGTTAGAGTGAATAAAAGCAGTATATCAACAAGAAGTCTTAGGGATAGAGTGTAGAAATCCAAAAGGTAGAATAACAATAGGAGTTGTTAGAACGAAACTCAAAGATTATGACAAAAAAAGATCAAGAAATGAGGCCGAAAAGGAAATTACACAACCAGTAGCAGAGAATTCAAACGAAGCACTACCTACCACTAAACCCACTAAACCCACTAAACCACAACCTAAACGAAGAAAAATGATAGGCACCAAACACAGAACTACTGATGATGAAATAGCAATCCTTTCTGTATTGAAAATACACAAAAATAACCTTCCAAATGAAGCCATTGCTTCCGTTTGTGAGAAATTGTCAGAAGTTTGGACTATAAAGAAGGTAAGACGTGGTGGAATAATCACAAGGACAAAAATTAATTTTATTAAAAAATATTTTATAGAATTTCTACAAGAATTTGTTACATTTTATAAATAAAATAAAAATTAGCTATTTCTACAATAAACACCATTCTAACCATTTTTTACAGACTAAGTAAGTTGATTGCGCTTGAAAAACTATGTATAGTTATGAATTCGAAATAAATTTTAAAAATTAAATTAACTTGCATCTCGGGATCAAAGCCAAAAAAATAGGGAAAGTTGGCTCAATATAAATTTTTTGTACAGGTGTTATAATGTAAAGAAAAACATTAAAGCGTGTAGGCAGAAATCTCAAGAACAAAAGTTTATTAAGGTTCTTCGGCAAATTATTTGAAAAAAAGTAGTGTTTCATTAGACCGTTCGTTTCTTATTATTAATGTTACACGAAATTTCAATTAATGATTTACAGGTGATCTGACATGACCACTGACTGATAAATTAATAATTAATATTTATTTTATATAGTGGAATTGTTAATTTCGAGAATGTTGAAACAAGATTTATTTTTGATTTAATGATGTCAGCTAATGAATTTGAAATCGAAGAATTATCCAAAAAACTAGAAAATTTTCTGATTGGAATTAAAAGTTCTTGGTTAAAGAATCATTTTTCTCTAATTTATCGTTCAATTTTTAAAGGAAATGATTTCAAAAATTTGGAAAAATTTTTGTAATGACATTATTGCAAAGTATCCAAATCTTATTTTTGATGCTGAAGATTTCGCTTCTCTTTTAGAATCTGCATTGGTTTCTCTCCTCATACGAGATGATTTACAACTAGAAGAAGTAATAATTTGGGAATATATTATAAAATGGGGAATTGCTCAGAATCCCACTTTACCTGTGGACCTTAAAGAATGGACCAATAAAAATTTTACAACTTTAAAAACTACTCTTCAACAATGCTTGCCTCTAATTCGTTATTTCCATATTCCTGGTATTGATGTTTTGAAAAAAATAAAGCCTCAAGAAAATTCTTGATGAACAACTTTGGGAAAATTTGAATCAGTACCTTATGGTTCCAGACAAACCACCAAGAACCTACCCGTACAACAATATCAGAGGAATTGGCAGAAAGAAAAATCAATAATCTGATAGCTGAATACTTTAACGTACTAGATATACAGGTAAGTATAATTAGCGCCGAAATTAATTTGGTTTACATTATATATACTGTATATTTAAAAATAATTCGTTAATCATTTCGTAGGAGGTTATCTTATGTATAAAAGATTTGCCCAAGGAATATCATTCAAAGATGGTTTCATCATTTGTAAATAATATACTCGAAAATAAACAAGATGATGTACGTAAGGTCATTGAAATATTTGAAGGAATTTATAAATGGTTTAGCTGTTACCATTGAATTTTTGAAAGACATTTGTGTTGATGCACCAAAATCTTATACATTTACTGGAGAAGTAACGGAAATGTTAACCTTTATTAAATGATGTAAAGAGCACAGAAAAGGTGATGGCTAGATATATAGAAGAAAAAAGAAAAAAAGAAAAAAAGAAAACAAAAAAATCAAGAATGGAAGAGAGAAACTGTAAGCGTTCAAATATAATATATGCTGTTTCATAATACTTAAAATAATAATAATTTTATTAATACATTTGACAAAGACGAACAATCAATCGCGCGAAAGCTGAAAGATTCTAGTTTTGATTTTAAATTAATATTTCCTCACGGCGATATAAATAAATTCCTGGAAAGTCTTGTAGGTTCTTAAATATTTTTTATAGCTTTTTTTTTTGTAAAAGAGAATTTTTATTACTATTTTATTTATTTTATGAACTTTTAGGGGCTTGAAGCGTTAAAAACATAATAAGTTTAAAAAATTTACGTTGTAGAATAGGTCTATATATATAATATATTCATAAAAATTAAAGCATCCAATGAACATTTTAATCTTAAACATCTTTAGAGTTTTTTTTTAATTTCAATTTGCTTTTGTATAAAAAATTTATCATATTTTGATATTGGAGGACACTTTTCACCATTATTAATATGAAAATGTAGTCGAAATTTCCTCATACTTATTCTTTAACAAATATTCCATATGAGTTTCAAAGGAAGTATAAATGGATTTAATCCCAAACTTTTTGGGATACCTATGTTATTTTAAGCTACAGTATTTCTTTATATCTAATAGAAAATTTAAATTTTTAAATTTTTTTTTTTTACTGAACTTTTAAATTTAAGCCTATTCATAATTTAATTTAATTTTTTAATTTTTTTTACATAATTATAATTAATTTTTTACATTATCGGTGTTTGAATATGGTTTTATCAATGAATTTAGTAATATAAATAAATTTAATGTGATTAATCGATCAAAAGAAGTTTTAAGTTCCTTTTCTTCTTTTCGAAATTTGTGAATAAATTATACCGTCACCTTTGTTTTTTTTTTTTTTTTTTTTTAATCGCGAAATTATGACGACAACGACAACAACAAAAAAAGATGACATCAAATTTATTTTATCTAAATTAGATCGAGCTTATGATGCCTTATTTAAAGGAATGATCTTAGATCCCGATATCACACGATCAAAAATTAATTTACCTTGGTATCAATCATATAAATTTAAATATTATAACTTCTTACCTGATCAATGGGAATTTCTTGATAATATATTTTTACTTCAATCATTATTAATTCTTCAAAAACCAAAGACAAAAGTAATAAATCAACAAATTGAAAATACATTACTTGGAGGATATTATTTATTTGCCAGCAAGTTATGGGATCATGAATATAAATTATCAATTGAAAAGAATAATCATTATGATGAAAATGATGAAAGAATAATTCTTGATGAAGATAATATATTATCTAAATCGTCGTCGCCGCAACGTTTTAATACACCATCACGAAATGATTTTACACTTTCAGAAGAAGCAGAAGAAGAAAATGATGATGAAATGGAAGAAGAGGAAGAAGAGGAAGAGGAAGAGGTGAAAGAAGTTATGGATCAACTTAAAGTAGAAATCTATGAAGATATTTGTAAAGAAGTCGCATCATGTTGGGTTTGGGTTAAGATGGTTACTGAAGTTTTTAATGAAAAATTATATTTCGATCCAAAAAGTAAAAAATTCCTGAAAAGAATTGGTGACGGAAAATCATTATTAGAAATAATGGAAGAATGTCGAAATTTCGTGATGAAAGAAGATATCTTTAATCGACTCACATCAATGATTTCGGTTGGTATTTATACTGAAAATTTTTTTGTAGAAAAGAATAATGGTGATGATGATGATAATGGAAATAATAAAAGCTCGGTAATTTCAAGGGAAACGTTATTGGAGAGATATAAAGAATATCAAGAGGCTTTAAGAAAATCTTTGAATCAATATTTCGAGTCGGAAGCTTATAAATCTATTGACATTAAAACGATTGATGAGGAAACGTTATTTGTGAGACATCGAAAATCGAAACATTATTTAGAAATAACGAAGAAATTTCTATTGGATATTAAAGAAAATCCGGGATCATATCTTTCAGCTTTAAAAGATTTAGCTTTAAGATTTCAATGAAAAGAAATAATAGATAATAATCGATGAATAATAGATTTATTAATTGTTTCGTTTTCATGTGTCAATAAAGGAACTTCATTACAATAAATATTGATACTTGCGGTAGAGTAACGAGACGATTTTTATTTATTGTATTTTATATATATATAGAATATAAAAAAAATATTTAAAATAAATATAATAATAAGTATCCACTATTCAAAAGTGTCAAATGCGTAAACTTGCGCGCACAAAATGTATGCAAAAAAAATTTTGTGCTCGAGTATTTTAATATCAAAGCCACGTGAGTAATCCCTTCATTTTAACATATAAAAAGGGGGTAACTCACTCTATAATCTTTACATAAATAAAATTCTTAAATAATTTTCTTTTATTTCTTAACTGAATTGACTCAACATAAAAAAAAATAAAATAAAATTTTTTTTTTTTAAAAAAAAATGGAATCTCAACTTCCCACCGAGATCTTGGAAAAAATTATATATTTTGCAAAAACTTCTTCAGAAGATATTTCAACAGTATACTCATGCGCTTTGGTTAATAGATTATGGTGTAGAGTAGCTATTCGTATTTTATGGAAAAAACCATTTAAATATGTTTTTGATAATTATGATGACGATAGGAATCATAATAGAAAGAATATGTCAAAATCGACGAAATTATTACTTTGTTATTTCAAATTTTTTAATCATTGTGAAAGAATTAATTTAAAAAAATGGTATATCGATTTACCTGAAACCAACGATAACACCACTTCATCACCATTATTCGAATATCCTTATTTTCTTAAAGATTTAGATTACGTTTCATTCATATTTTCAATCGAAAAATTTATTAAATTTTATCTCTCATCATTTCTTTGTAGAAAATATAAAAGTAATTGGAAAGGAATAAAAATTTCCAATCCAACATTTTTAAATTCTGAATTTCTTAATCCGGAAACTAGAGAAAAGATGAAATCAAAAAATAGTATATTCTTTAAACTTGATGATTCAAATATTCATAGTATAAGAAAGAATCGATATAAAAGAATAGTTAAAATTCAAACCACAATACTTGGTCAATTTTTATTAAAATTATTTATTAGAAAAGGTTCAATGTTAAATAAATTAAAATTAGTTTGTAATGATGAAATAATTCATCATTGGAATCAAACTTGTAAATATGAAACATTGGTTAATACTGTGGAGATTTTAAAGTATTTGGGAACTATTAGAGAATTAAAAGTTACTGATATGGCTTATAATATTGAACAATCAAAAATTTTGGGTGAATTAGCTATCACATGCAGTAATTTGGTAATTTTATTTTTTATTTTTTTTTTTAAAAAAATTCTAATTATTATTTTATTTTTATTTTTAATAATTATTTTAAATAATTAATTATTTTAAAAATTATTTTTAAATTTTTATTTATTATTAAAAGAAACATCTCGATATCACCTTTTACAGAACTTACACTAAAGAAAAACATATTCCAAGTAATGATTTAGCTTCATTAATTTTAACACAAAAATCATTAACCCATTTTTTATACAAAGGAATAGCCACAAATATGGTACCTTATTCATTAATAACTCAATCTTTATCATTGAAATATATTGAATTCGAAAAAACGGATTTCAAAGGTCTCAGTATAGCATTCTATGGAATTGCCAAATGTGAAGTGTTGGAATGTTTAATATTTAAATTATGTAGATTTATTGATAGTGAAATGTTGATACCAATGTTTGAAAGAAATGCATTACCGAAATTAAAAGAAATTAGATTAAGTGAATGGTATTACAATTATTATAAATGTGAAGAAGAATTAGAAAAATGGATAAGGTGGAAACGATTTAAAAAAACAGGTTCTTATCTTGAATATAAAAATTTGATCACGGTTTCTATTTATAGATCTATGGATGAAGATTAAAAATATTCGCATTAATAATAAATATGTATATATATATATATATATATATATTTTTGAATTGATTCTATATAATATAATAATCTGTAATATAAAATATATAAAATATATTCTGTAATTGTTTAATTTTTTTATTTATTATTACTGTATTTAGTCATTCACAAAAATAAACATAATTTAGGGATTGATGCGTTTTTCAATTCTTTCCAAAAAAAAAAAAAAAATTCGTTCACACGCCAAAAACAAGCAAAAAACAGGATTTTTTCAAAAAGAAAAAATATAAATTTGTATGATTTGGAATTTTCGTTGTTTTTTTTTTTATAAATCAAATTTTATTATTTTCTGCAAATAAAATAAATTTTAGCAATAAAAATAGCTAAAAATTTTCCGTGATCGTTTTTTAGTAACTTTAACCATGAGTTTTCCCAGCGTTCGTACTAGGTGATCCTGATTTCTTCAAAAATTTTTTTTTTCCTACTATTATCCTTCGTCCAATTCATACAATTCATACATATTTATACATATATTTATATTTATAGAGGATATTTACCAATTGAAGATTATGGATTATTTGGTAATTTACGTACGGTCGCATTATGTGGAACAGATGGATCGATTGATTTCATGTGTTATCCAAAGTTTGATAGTCCCTCGATTTTTGCTAGAATTTTGGATAAAAATAAAGTAAATTATTATTATTATTATTATTAAACATGATTTAAAGTTGTTGTCTTAATTTTTACATATTTTTAATATTTTATATTTTAATAGGGAGGTATATATATATATATATAGAAAAATTATATCGATTTTAAATGATGATGTGATTAAAGATATCTAATATAATTATTCGCTCAACTTTTCTAAATATAATTAGGACATTTCTCAATTGCGCCATTAACTCATAAAAGTGAAAAGCAACAATATCTTCCCAGTACCAATATTTTATCAACTCGTTTTCTATCCGATCAGGGTGTAAGTGGAATCACTGATTTTATGCACATTCCTGTAAAAACGGATAATCCTCGGACCTTACTTCCTTGGTTAATTCGTCACGTCGAAGTTACTCGTGGTGAAGTCGATTTTCATTTGGAATTATTTCCTGCATTTAATTATGCTCGTGATTCTCACACTACGAAAATTGTTGATAATAAAATTGATTCAACTTTACCACCAAAATTGAATACAAATGATTTGGGAAATAAGAAAATTATTTTTTCTTCAGATACTATGGATATGGATTTTAGATTTGTGATAAAAGCTAGTGAAAAAGGTTTACCAAATATTGAATTCAAATTGGTTGAATCTGAAGTATTTAAAGGTCCTGGAATAGTGACTAATTTTACTTTGAAAGAAAAACAAGAAGTGATTTTTATCTTAAGACAAACACCTATTGTAACTAAGGATGATGATGATGATGATGATGAAACTTCTTGTAAAGACAATGATTTAGATCCTATAATTAGTTATAGATTTATGAAAGAATTATATAGGGAAACTTTAAACTTCTGGCAAAATTGGATTTCCCAATCTACTTATAAGGGAAGATGGAGGGAACATGTTCATAGGAGTGCTTTGACTTTGAAATTGTTGACTTATGAACCAGTAAATATATTATTTTGAATTGTTTTAATTTTTTTTTTTTTTTTTGATAATTTAAAATTATTAATTTTTTTTTTTTTTTGAATATTTTAACTCATCTTTCATTAACTAGACAGGAGCAGCAATAGCATCCCCAACTTTTGGTCTTCCGGAAGGTATCATTGAAATAATCAAAAATTTTAAAAATTTTATAATAAATTATATTGCGTTTTAGCGAAGCTATTTAAATTTTATTTCTTTAGAAATAGGGGGGGAAAGAAATTGGGATTATCGTTTCACCTGGGTTCGAGATTCTGCATTCACACTTTATGCTTTAATGAGAATAGGAATGACTGAAGAAGCGAAATTATATATGAAATTCATGGAAGAAAGGTGCAAAGATTTGGTAATATTTTATAAATTATTATTTTAATTTTATAATTTAATTGATTTAATTAATTAATTAATTTAATCGATCATTATTTTTTTTAACATTTAGAATGAAGATGGGTCACTTAATATAATGTATAGTATTGATGGTCATAAAGAATTGACTGAAATAGAACTTGATCATTTAGAAGGATATTTAGGTTCACGTCCTGTACGTATAGGTAACGGAGCCTATGACCATTTACAACTTGATATTTATGGGGAATTATTGGATGCGGTATATCTATTTAATAAACTTGGTAGTCCAATTTCTTATGATACTTGGGTCAATATTAAAAAAATGGTAAATTATGTTTGTGATAATTGGGATAAACCTGATATGAGTATTTGGGAAGTTAGAGGAAAGCAACAGAATTTTACTTATTCTAAAATTATGTGTTGGGTTGCTGTTGATCGAGGTAAGTATTTTAATATTTTTGTTTATTATTATTATTTTTTTTTTCATTTTTTTATTTATTTATTTATTTTAGTTATTTATTTTATTTTGTTTTATTTTATTTTATTTTATTTTATTTTATTTTATTTTATTTTATTTTATTTTTTTTTTTTTTTTCTTCGTCATTTTTGTCTCGATAATAAATAACAATAGGAATAAGATTTACCGAGAAAAGAGAATTTCCATGTTCAGATCGTTTTAAATGGTTAAGTGTTCGGGATAAAATCTATGAACAAGTTATGGAAAAAGCATGGAATCCTCAACTTCAAATATTTGCACAATCCTATGAATCTATTGATGCGTTGGATTCATCTGTTTTAATTATGCCATTAGTATTTTTCATTAGTCCAACGGATCCACGATTTTTGAGCACTATGAGAAAAATTATGAAACCTCCTACTGAAGGTTTGTCTTTTAATAATAAAATTAATAATAAGATTAAATAAAAATTAATAAAAAAATTTTAATTTTATCAAGGAAATATTAAATGAAATGAATGTAATGAATAGAGTGATGGAAATTTTAAAATTTAATCTAATGTGTTTTATTTATGTAGGAGGCCTTTTGGAAAATAGTCTTGTATATAGATATGACTTTGTTAGTACTGATGATGGTATTTATTTTTTTTTTTACTATTCTGTATAAATTTTCCTTTTTCCATTAAAAAAAAAAATATTAATAATAAATAATAAAAATATAAAATTCTTTCTTAATTGATTAATATCCTAACTTTTTACTTATTTTATTTTTTTCTTAAAAAATAAATAAGGATTAAGAGGAGACGAAGGATCATTCTCAATGTGTACATTCTGGTTAGTGGAAGCTTTGACTCGAGCAGGAAAATATGATAAAAAGTTATTAGAGAAAGCCGAAATTATATTTGAACGAATGATTGGATACGGAAATCATTTAGGATTGTATAGTGAAGAAATTGCTAGAAGTGGTGAACTGTTAGGTAATTTCCCCCAGGCATTTACTCATATTGCTTTTATCAGCGGTAAGTTTATTATTATTATTATTAATTTATTATATTGAACGGGTGATTTATTGTTGTTATTATTGTTATTATTATAATTTATTGAAATTTTTTTTAAAAAATATTTTTAGCTGCATTTAATTTAGATCGTGTTTTAACTGAACGAAGTGGAAAGTGAATTTTCCATAATTTAAATTAAAATTAAAATATAAATGTAAAAATAAATTAAACAATAAATTATTTATTTTCCTTTTTGTATTTATGTATTTTACCCCGCTTTTTTAAATAAAATATTTAATCAGAACAATTATATTTATGTCACGCGAATGTATATATCATACTAATTTTTCAGTAAATCTAACTTTAGATCATTTAAAAATATCATACTACAACTGATTGTTTCTGCATTATTATTCTGTTTTTTTTTAAAAAAAAAAAATTACATTTTTTAAGCAATTACTTATCATTCATCCAGTTTTTTATAAAATTTTGTAACGAATATTTTTTTATTTTTAAAAAAAATATGTATAATCGATCGTTAAACATGTCGATCAAAAGAGAAGAAAATTTGAAAACGGAAATATGTGAAGTATGTTTACATATCTGTGAAAAAAAAAAATTTAAATAAATCCTTAGTTTTAATATAAAATATTTGAAAATAATAAATTTAAATATTAGAAAAAGTTTTCCGATTTATCATTATCGTCATCGTCGTCGTCGCCGTCTTCTCTCCCGAAAAGACGTAAAATAAATTCTTCTAGTTTCGACTCTATTACTACTACTACTGAATTTAAATCATCTCCTCCTCAATTGCCATCATCCCCATCCACCACTATCACTTCATCATCATCAACCGGTAGAAGACCTCGTTTGGTTTGGACCAAAGAAGAAGATGAAGCTTTGTTTAACGCTATTAATTCGGTGTTAACAGGACAATGGAAAGAAGTTTGCACAAAAAATCCCATACTAAAAGCTCGCGGAACTAGTATGGTCGCTCAAAGGTTCAGAACAAAGATTCGTTATTTTGTTGGTGGCAATGCAGAAAGAACCAAGCAATAATTAATTTAAACATTAATTATGAATTTTAAGAATGTCAAAAATTACACAGACAGAAAAAATAAATAAATATTTAATAAAGAATATTTGTTCAAATTCCTTAGGCAACGTATGTATTGATAATTTTCACAGAGTGATGTCCAATAAAAAAATTATTGATACAGAAATTTCTAACTTTAAATACTTCATAATTAAAAATTAAGAAATGATATTTTGCTGCTGTTCTGATAGGTTTTTAATAATGATTCAGTCCGTTGTAACTACCTATAGTAAAATAAGCAAAGTCTTTTGATTACCTTTAGTCCAAAACTAAATCAACTAAGAATTGAATATTGTATATTTGCCATTTTTTTCAATGAGAAAATAAAGCTATCATTAGTTTTTCCTTGACCATCATATGACATATGTATCAGCATTATCCCAAACCCAAGCTAAAGAATTGCGTCCTCCGAGGATTTCGTCCGTTCCTTCAACTTTTATAATTACTAAAGTACTGACATGGCCGTGAAATTTATCCCAAAAAGTTTGAGTTCAAATCCATTTATATACTTCCTCTTAAAATTTATTGAAACTTTAAGGAATAATATTTGATTTACGAGGAAATTTTGACTGCAAGTTTATAAGTAATAATGGTGGAAGATGGTTATTATTAATTCTGTTGTACGGGTATGTAATTTTCGAACAATTTTTGTTATTTGTTGATATTACTAGTTGATCAGATATTGTTTCAAATCATCCCAAAGTTGTTCGTCAAGAATTTTCTTGTAAGGCGTTATATTTTTCAAAACATTAGTACCAGAGATATGGAAATATCGAATTAGAGGTAGTCATTGTTGAAAGAGTATTTTTTTAAGGATGTAAAATTTTCATTGGACCATTTTTTTAGGTCTACGAATAAAGTGGAATTCTGAGCAATTCCTCACTTAATAATATATTCCCGAATCATCGCCTCTAAATCATCTCACTTGAGAAGAGATACTAGTGTAGATTCTTGAAGAAGTGAAATCAGCAGCATCAAAAATGAGAGAAGGATATTTTGTAACAATATCATTTTCAATATTTTCTAAAGCTATGAAGTTATTCCCATAAAAATTGAACGATAAATTGGAGAAAAATGAGACTTTAACCGAGAGCTTTAGTTTCAATAAGACGATTTTTCATACTATTCATTTATTTAAATCTGTAAGATACGAATAAAATTAATTTATGAAAATTAAACAAATTTACGAAGTATGTTGATAAACTGTACTGTAAGATCGTTTAACTTTTCTTATAGTACAGTTTATCGTCGTACTTCTTAAATTACACCCAAATTTCAATTTTTGTGATATGACGATATTTTTTCACAAATATTGAAAATAACCATTGTCGCGTGACAAAATGTCGTACGTTAGAGTTTTTTTTTTTTTTAAAAAAAGGAAGATATAATTTATATTTGCAAAATAAATATGGGATACTTCAAAATTTATTTAATAATTTACTCAATAATATAACGAATAAAAATATATTTGATAATTTATTAATAATAACATAAAAAAAATTATCATCTCATTAATTATTTAAATTTCTTAATAACCTTAAATACTTCATAACCAACAATTGAGAAACTATCATTTGTAGTTCTGATAGATTTTTCATAAAAACCGTTATTCTGACATCTGCAATAATTATCCAAAGTAAAATTAGAACTAGGGCTATACATATAAAAACTGTAGTATCCAAAAATTGGACCATAATTATTTTGTTCACTTTTTCTAACATTATAAATTGCATATTCAGGTTTTTCTACTCTACTAAGAATTGAATTTTGGATATTGCCATTTTTCAATGAGAAAATAAAGTTATCAGTTATAGTATTATCCCACGCTAAAGGATTATATCCTCCGAAGATTTCGTCTGTTCCTTTAACTTTTATAATCACTACAGTACTAGCATGGCCGTGACATTTATCCCAAAAAGTTTTAGGTTAAAATCCATTTATACTTCCTCTTAAAATTAATTGAAACTCATATGGATTGTTTGTTAAAGAATAAGTACTTGATTTACGATCAATCCAAGAGGAAATTTCGGCTACATGTTCATAAGTAATAATGGTAGAAAATGGATTTGTTGGTTCCGTTGTACGGGTAGGCAATTTTTGAACAAAAATTGTTCTTAGTGGTAAAATTATTGATATCAATGGTTGATTAGGGTCAATCAAATATTGTTTCAAATCATCCCAAAGTTGTTTATCAAGGATTTTCTTGTAAGGCTTTATATTTTTTAAAAAATCAGTACCAGAGATATGGAAATATCGAATCAATGGTAGGGATTGTTGAAGAGTAGTTTTTAAAGTGGTAAAGTTTTCATTGGTCCATTCTTTTAGGTCTACAGGTAAAGTGGAATTCTGAGCAATTCCCCATTTAATTACATATTCCCAAATTATCACCTCTTCTAGTTGTAAATCAACTCGTTTGAGGAGAGAAACCAATGCAGATTCTTGAAGAGAAGTGAAAACTTCAGCATCGAAAACGAGAGATGAAGTTATTTCCACTAAAAATTGAACGATAAACTAGAGAAAAATGAGACTTTAACCAAGAACTTTTAGTGGTGATTTTCTAGTTTTTTGATTAATTCTTCAAGTTCCAATTCACTATCTGCTATCATTAAATCAAAAATAAACCGCGTCTCATTATTCTCTAAATTGACAATTCCACCATATATATATCTTATTAAATTAAAAAAAAAAAAATATTTATTAATTTATTATAATTATTGAATCACCTACTTTAGAATAATATCAAAAATTTCATCAGAAATATTTGGCTTATTAATTGTCTCAAGATCATTTTCGCTCGGCATAGTCATTTCTAACTCTTTACGAAAATAAGTTGACCGACATTTCAATACACTAGAGTGCGCTGTAAAGGATTTCTCATTTTTAACTGTAATGATTACATTATGATCTTCTTTATCATTAAGAAGTTCAGTAAAGTTTTGGGATAATTTGTCAAAAAATTTAAAAGACATTTTATTTGAATGAATGACCAATCCGATCCGATTTTTAAATAGAGCAAGACTTTGTAATATAAAAGGAAAGAAAATCAGAAAATTGTTCATGTGACAAAAATGATTTTCTCCACTAAAAATAGATTAGATTTGTTTTTGTTTACCAATATATTTGTTTTTACCAGAAGTTCTCACGAAATGTCTTTTTCAACAAAACTTTATTACATAATTCTAAAGAATTACAAGTATCTTAATATATATAATTTATAGAAACATAAAAAAAAATAAAAAAAATGCTCTCTAAAGTATGCCGGAAGGAACGTTCACCCAAAAAAATTACCGTAAATGCTTCCCGGGTGCTTTGTCAACACATAAGCATACATCTCTTTCTACAAGAACTTTGGCACGGAATGGGAAATATGAATATGAAGTATCGTACAGAACTATTGGAAGGCACCTTGAAAGTATTGGATATTTAAAAACTTCCCAAAACAAACTTTAAGCCACAAACAAAAACGTATAGAATAGGCCAAAAAAAATTAATGATTAATGGAATAAAACAATATTTACTAACGAAACTGCTTTTAACTTTTTAGAAACACTGTAGAACATTGGTATACCTAAAGATCGTACAAAAATTATGGAGTGGAAAGTTTTTGTATAAAAGGAAAAACAAGCTTATTTTGCTAAATTTTATGTAGAAATTCTTCGTACACATAATCCTGAGATCACCCAGGTGCTTGACAATAATTTCCGCTTCCAGCAAGAAATGATCCAAAGCATAAAAGTCGTCTTGCCAAAGCCTTTCTTCAAGAAAAGTTCCCAATAGTTTTAGAGTGGCCATCAAATAGTCCGGATTTAAGAAATCTAAATTATTTTGAAAGATTTATGATGGAGGTATGGCAAAATATACTCCAAACAGTTCTAATTAATTTTGTAAATTCGATGAACCATCGTTGTCAATTAATTATTGAAAATATGGTGAATGTATTTTTTTTTTTTTTTTTTAAATCCAACGGAGTCTTGCTCAATAAACTTTTATTAATAAATTAGGTGTAAATTTAAAAGATGCATATAATTTATTTTACATTTATCGAAACTGACTAAAAATAATATTTTATGGTCCAACTCATTGTTGCCTAAGTGTAACCTCAGGAACTGATGGCCAAAACCCCATCAGATGTAATTATT